TTGGGATGGAATTATGGGCTCTTGGTATAACCGCCATTGAATTAGCTGAGAGACAACCACCAATGTACGATTTGCATCCCATGAGAGCTCTCTTTCTCATGTCTAAATCAAGTTTCAAACCACCCACCTTGAAAGATAAACATCTATGGTCGCAAGAGTTCCATAACTTCATTAAATCAGCTTTAACCAAGAATCCCAAAAAGCGTCCTTCAGCGGAAAAACTTCTTTGTCATCAATTTGTCCAAGGTGATCATCTAACAAAACGTTTAACCAAAGAGCTCATCGAAAAAGCTCGTAATCCTCATTCGTTTGACATGCATCTTCACCATGATCTGGATCCAGATGAGGCCGAAGAAATTGTTCACGTTCCTCGACGTATACCTTCCAAAAAACCCTCAACAAACCGAAAGTCAAGACCATTATCAGAAATTAAAGCTGATGGAATTGTCTTTAGGCATACAGAATGGGATGATTTTTCAGTCGAAAGTCCCAGCAAATTTCCAGTTACAGAAGAATCTTACATAGGTCTCTCAGAAGAGGATCCTGACAGAAAGTATGACCAATTAATTACATTATCTGTTCTCTTTCAACATAAACATCTTGACTAATTGTTTCGTATTATTGCGTCTTTACTTACTAACTATCTTTGTCACTTTCTATTTTCTCTCTCTCTCACTGCATCTGTTAAATGTTCTTCCCTTGTTAAAAAAAATGTCCAGTCTATTGTGGCAAGAGAGTAGGTTAGTTATGTGTTAATTACATTTTTATTACTTATTTATTATTCTTGACATTATTATCATGTTTTGCTCTATCATATTGATCAACACCAATGTCTAATCTTTTATTCATTACTGTTTTTTTCAATGCTTCTCATTTCTTTTCCTAATTGTTTCAATTATTGCAGGAGCTTACTCGAAGAAATGGATGAAGAGCTGACTCAGAGGTATTATTTCAAGCTATTTCAGTGTTGTCTCTTCATTCATCTGTCATTTTCTCGTTCTTTACTATTTGGACTATTTCTAATCTTTTTTTCTCTTCATTACAGGGGTGTCAAAACCAGTTTATCGACTCTTTACTCAACACAGTAGGTCTTTTTACATCTATTTTCTTAACCTACAATCCACTTAAATTTTTTTCATCTTTTCCTATTATTTATCTGTGTTCTACCTTTAATCTTTCTATCTCTTTCAGATCAACTCTTCCAGTTGAATCCTTACAACGATCTTCATCAAATCAAGTAGGTCAAAATTTTAATAATCTTATTGTCTTCCTTTTTGTTAATTCATACTTGAAAGCTCCCCATACCTTCATTTATCTTTTTTACTTTTGAGTAAATCTGTCTGATTGAATACTCAGAAGCTGGAAAACAATGCTTTCTAAGAGTTAATTTTCTCTTGTCGTACATCATCTCAATTTTTTTAATTATTAACCTCTCCATGGTGTTTTAATTGCAAAGCTATCACACCCGGGATCGGACAGATTAAGCTCTTCTGTCCTGTTTGGGTGGAGAGGGATAGAAACAGAAGATGAAGGGCTACTTGATACCGAAGGATATGGTTCATCCACCTTTGTGCTTGGTAGCCTTCGTACAGATTATAACAATCATGGATCTCGATTTATTTCCAACTATGAGACCCCAAGATTTGATAAAGATGCTCTTGTCCGTTGGAATAATGATACTCTTGTAAGATTTGAAGTTACTGATAGTTGCACGTTTATCTCTGCTACTTGGCATATTTACTATACTTTATAGAAAACCGTTTTTTCATTTATTATAATCGTCAGTATCATTATCATTCTGAATGACTCACCATAATTTTACAAGCTTTATGCATGTTTCCATTTTCTTACCCATTAAATCTTTAATCAAGCGGTTTTACAATTCTCTATTTTCATTTTGCTCTCACTACCCTTATTATTTTTATTCATTCTCATGGTATTTTGAATTCAATCATTTCCTTATTCTCTTTCTTTCTAGTTTTAACCGTAATTTTATTTATTTTTATTCTGAAATTCATCTGTATGATAATGTTTGCATTTAATTTCATGTTTGTTACCTTTATTTAAAAAAAATAGAGACACAATCAGACTCAGCTATTTAAATTTTTTCTTGCTAATTCCTTTATTTTCTTTCTTTGCATGTTTCTCCTGTTGTTATCTGGTAAATCCTTACCTTTTTTTGATGTTTTTTATTTCCAACTTCCTGTCTGCTGTTGAAACACACACAAAAATACCAGGAAAATCTATTGGACGAGATTTGCTCTGAGCAACCTGATAATAACCCTAATAACAATGAATTCGAGGAATTCTCAACTCCCCCGTCAACACCTAAAATTTTAAATGGTTCGCCACCTGATTCTCCAACATCATTTACCAATCCTTTTATCAACCAATCATCATCAACCACCGCCAATGGATCAAGTTCTCGGAGCGGTGATCATCAACCAACCGAGTCAACTAGATTATCTAATGGAAACCACTCTGAGGAGAAAAGGCAGAGTATCAGCAATTCAAGCGGATCAGCCTCAGCCAATCATCCTCCTTCAGTTCCCCCTCGTCGTAAAGAAAAAAAGAGCTTATTAACCAAGATGAATGTATCCCAGCAATCACCATCATCTCAACAACCCTCACCGAGACAAACAATTAATGGTCTTCCTCCAACTCCTAAAGTTCACATGGGAGCTTGTTTCTCCAAAGTTTTCAATGAATGTCCTTTGATGATTCACTGTTCTGCCAGTTGGATTCACCCGGAAACCCGTGATCAACATATCCTCCTTGGGTGTGAAGAGGGCATTTACACTCTGAATTTGAATCAACTTCATGACGCATGTATTGATCAGTTATATCCAAGAAGGACGACTTGGATGTTTGTTATTAAAGATGTTCTCATGTCTTTGTCTGGTAAAACACCGCATCTTTACCGTCATGATTTAGTTCAATTGCATAATAAGAATAGTCATAAGTTCTCGTTACCCGTTGATTCCATGATAAATAAGATTCCTGAGCGATTTGTTCCTTGGAAGCTCACTGCTACTTCTAAAATATCTGACACAAAAGGATGTACCAAATGCTGTGTTGCACGTAATCCATATAATGGTTATAAATATCTCTGTGGAGTCAGTCCCAATGGTATCTTCCTAATGCAATGGTACAATCCTTTAAACAAATTTATGTTATTGAAGGTTAGTGTTAATTTAGATCATCACACTGTTCCAAAACTAGTCAAAAGTCAATTCCAATACTTTTAAAATGCTTTTTATTATTTGGGTTTCATTTTTCCAAATTTATCTAATTATCTTTTTTCGTTTCATTTCCTTTCCTCATCTTTTCAGCAATTTGAATTTTACCTTCCATCAAAGCTTGATGTTTTTGAAATGATGATCACTCCTGATTTAGAGTATCCGATGCTGTGTGTTGGTGTTAAACGTGGTTACGAAAAGGATTACTTACGATTAGAAATTGTAAATCTTAATTCATCTGCAAGCTGGTTTAATGACGATTTTAATGACGGAACAGAGACTGTTATTCATAAATACGATCAGTTAAATATTGTAAATGTTACTCAACTTGACAAAGAAACTATTTTAGTGTGTCATGACAGTAAGTTACTCTTATCTTTACTCATTTCTCACATAACATCTTTAATCACCATGACTTTTAATTCTTTATTTTTCATTTTTTTGCCAATCTCAGATAGTGTTAAACTTGTTAATCTAGACGGTCAACTTAAATCAAATCGGAAACAACCTGCTGAGCTGAAGTTTGATTTTAAAATTGAATCCATAGGTAAGTTGAAGGTTTAGTGAATAAATCATGTTATGATTGACCAAAAACGTTAATATTGAAATTTCATTTATGAGCTATGATTGAATTTGAATTTCAATCTCCACCCTTTTCTTTTCCTGTTGAAGCTCATGCAAAACTCCATTTTACTATCTCATCAACTAATACTTTTAGTGAAATTGATAATATTAATATTATAATAAAAACAAAAGTCATATTACATGAATTGTATAATGAATTGCGTGTATTTGTTATACAATTTTGTGAATTGTCACATGAAATTATTTGAACTAAAATGTTATTAATTTGTATTTTTTGTCTCTTATCTCTTTTGCAGTGAGTTTGACGGACTGTGTTTTAGCCTTTCATAAACATGGCATGCAAGGACGAAGCTTCAAAAATAATGAAGTTGTACAAGAAATAAATGACGAGTCAAGATGTTTCCGATTACTCGGAGCTGATAGGTAATTTTCTTAATTTCTCATTGCTTTTATTATTGAATTTATTCAGTTGATAATAATTTTTAATTTTTCTCTTTCGAATAGAATAATTGCCTTGGAAAGCCGCGCATCGAAAGATTCATCTAATCCCACATCAAACTTGTACATATTAGCTGGTCATGAGAACAGTTATTGAATAAAATCAAATATCTATTTTAAATTTGCTCAACGGAAAGATCCAATTCCATATTAATTCGTCATAAAATGAATTTTAACATACCACTGGCATTAAGCTTCTGAAGAAGATTTGCTTTTGTTTCACAAGAATCACGTTATTGAAACCAAAAAGTCAAACAAGGTAATTAACTACTAATCATATAAATCATCACATTATATTTCATCAAATTATCTTGATTATCCTCATCAGTTATCAAATGTTTATTATTAGTATTACATTATTATCTTTATTATTGTCATTACTATTAAAATGAAAAAAAGTTAGTTTCCATTTCGGAATGATTTCCTTTTTTTCCAAAAATTAGATTGAAAATTTTAAATTACCGTCCAATCAAAATCTAATCGGAGTTTGTTTTCCCTTCGGTGGATTGGATTTTGCCAACTTATCAAGTAAATCAGGATCATGGAGAACAGATGAAACCCTTCTATAACATATATAGTAAATTGAAGCCAAAACTCGTTGACCAACAAACCAGATGAATGTAATTTTACATTTACTCCACTCTTTGGTGTCGAGATATTGATCACTATCCAATGGCTTATTCCAATAAACTGTGATTATTTGAAATTGTAATGTAACCGTTGTAAATAAGTAAATAACGGAGATGATCAGTCCATAACAATGAGGTCGTAAGATGTGCCTCAAGTAACCAGCCTGTAAGATTTTGGACTGAAAAAAGAGGAGACACAGAAGAATCAAAGCCAATATTTGGCTCAAATTTTGGCAAATATAAACTGATAGACGAAGAGTTAATTTGTGGCCAAAGTAATCGTCAAAAATATTACAAAGAAGATCGATAGTTAGGAAAAGGTATTCCAATAATTGAAGAAGTATATTTGATAAATTATCTCGATGAATCATTGTCATTTTTTAGCTATTAATTTATTTTATCAATTTATTTAAATCACTAAAATCAACGAATTTCAAAAGACTAGTTTCTGATCAGTATCATAACCATAGTAACCTTAAGGTTCAAAACAAATGAGTTGATATTGATTTTATTGAAACATATTTTACGCAACTGTTTTAATTTTTACGCTCATTGTCAAAGTTAGCT